TATTGTATGTAATAAGTGCACTATTGGGTAATGCTATTTGTAGGTATATTCTGCTGCTGCTGAAAGGCCCTGAAAATGGGAGAAGGCCATTATTTGTTAATTGCTAACTTGTAACTTTCCCCAATCCACAGTTTTATAGCATTCATTATAATTTTTTATTCTCTTTACCAAGAGAATCTAAAAAGAATTTGGGCTTATTTTAAGTAGAACCAAACCTCATATCTATCTTGCTATTTGTCTTAAATTTGAGGACAGAATTGTGGAAAATGGGTTGAAGACACATATAGTGCCCTCCCAGCCCAATGCTTTATTATAGTGATTAGTGTACCTCAAGCCAGGCATACACTGAAGCCATCTGGTCAACATTTTGCAAATTTATTGTCATCCAAAACTATCTTTAGTATTATGAAGTCAGAAGTCATTCTATGATAGTTCAGGTTTTTTTAAGCACATTAAGCCTGATAGGGTGAGTGTCCCTCTAATTCGTAACTGTTCAGTTTTGGTTGTACCTCTCTTCTCTTGGTCAGTTTCTAAAATTAGTGCCCCACCCCATTTCTCCTGGTTTCAGCTCTGATTGTCTGTACATCAAGTAAGTATTTTTTACCCTTGAACACCTCTCAGCTGCTTCCTCACCAAGGTCCAGTACTTTCCTGAGAGCTGCCTCCTCTGGGAGGTCCAGTACCTCCTTGCATGCAGAAAAGTTCTCTGCGCCACAACTAAGTAACAGTGAGAATTAATGCAGTTTCTAGTTTCTCTCAATCCTTCAAAAGCAGATTCTATTTTGAAGCATTTTATATTGATACAAATGATTGCTGTATTTTTACTACATTGCTTTTGAAATTTTTGCTCTGTGTGGGGTTTTTATTCCTTACAATCTGGTTTACATTTATACCTGTGTATCTCAAATGTAATACTGGACTATTGAGGCTGCCTTGTTTTGTGTTCAGAGTAGTTTTCAAGTTTAGTGGCTTGTAGTAGGAGCTTAGTATTTGCTATTAAACAGTCACTTGGAGATTTTAGCAGTGGGAGGTTAGGTGTATCCTGTGATTCCTCTTTTATAATTCTCTGCCTGTGAGGAAATGACTTTTCAGTGTTTAGAGTTTAGCTATTTTAATACTTAGAGAGTTCTGAATTAAGAGATGTCCTGCCTTTTGAAATTTTCTAGATTTTTAAGAATGAAAGACAATGTCATCACATTTGAGATGACTACTATAGCCTCTGAAATCTTTCATTAGTTCTAGTTTTGGCTATTTCTGAGGTAAAAGTAGTACCTTGTGTTTAGGTCCCAGTGATGGGGCTGGGGTGGGAGGGTCGGGGGATGACAATATACAGATTAGTAGGAGAAAAGACAAGGTTTATTCGTATGTGTGTGGGAGGACTCAGTGATGAGCTCTGCTGAATAGCCAGAGGTAAAGGTTTATTATATACCAGCTTAACAAAAATTGGGAGTAGAGTTAGGTCTTCAATGGCACAAAGTATGGAAGGTTCATCTGAGCTTTTTGATGCTAATGTACAGCTGAATTTGCACTTCCTAGTGCTAAGGATCAGTCATCTCCCCAACAGGAAACTCCCTCTGAGGGAGGCAGGGAGGTCCATGGCAGCTATATTTTTGGGAGGCTTTGCTTAAGTTTATATAATGTTTCTTCCTGTGGCAGCTGATTATTCAGATGTTTTCAGTTTAAAGTAATCTTTATGACTACTTTGGTGGGATGATCATCCCTTGCTTACTATTTTTTAAAGAATAAAGCCCTTTTAACAACCTAAGGATACTTTGTATCAGAAATTATAATCTCAACAAAGACCTTTATGTAACTGTTATTTATTAAATGGTTTCTTTCAGTGAGGAATATGACAATGATTATTTCTTAGTGACCCTTCTAAACATTCATGTGCATATTAGAAGTTTTTATAATTAATTTCAATACCAAATGACTATAATTCCATCAAAGCATAGTGATTAATAGCATAAAATTTTTGATTATCTTTTTAAAAATGTTCTTTGAGATGATGGTAATTGTTTTCCTATTTTAATGCAGAAGCTTTTCAGAGTCATTGCTCCTCCTCTGAATGCAGGAAAAACGCTAACAGGTATTAATTTTCTAAACCTTACTTTTTTCTCTTTTTTGTGTTTTAAGGTATTATTTAAATGTTATAAAATTCACCAGTTATATATGTGCAGTGTGAATTTTGGTAATCATATGTAATTACGTAACCACCACCATAATCAAGCTGTAGAAGTTTCTCATGTGAAAACGTTTCCTCCTGCCCTTTATACCTGATCTTTTTCCCACATCCCTCCTCCAGGGAATCACTGATCTACTCCTCTCAGTACACTCCATGTAAATAGAATTATTAATATATAGTATGTAATCTTTGGTGGTTTCTTTCTTTTGTTTTTTGAGATTCATCTATGTTGTTATATGTATTAATATTTTGTTCCCTTTTACTGCTGTATGGTATTCCATGGATTGAATATACCATAATTTGTTTATTCATTCACTAGTTGATGGACATTTGAGTTGCCTTCAGTTTGGGACTACTGTGAATAATACTGTTATAACATTTGTGAACAAGTTTTTTTTTAATTAAACATTTTGAACTTACTGTAGATTCACACGTAATTGTGAGAAATGACACATAGAGATCTATATGCTCTTTACCCAGTTTGCCCAATGATAACATGTTGGAGAACTGAAGTACAATATCACAGATGGATATTTATACCAATAAAGTCAAGATATGGAACAGTTTCATTGCCACAAATATTCCTCATGTTGCCCTTACCGCCCATTCCTGGCCCCTAGCTGTGAATGTTTCTGTATGGTCATATGTGTTCATTTGTCTTGGGAAAATCCCCAGGATTGGAGTGGTTGGATTATATGGTAAATGTATGTTTTACTTTCTTTTTTTTTTTTTTTTAGACAGAGTCTCGCTCTGTTGCCTGGGCTAGAGTGCCATCACATCAGCCTAGCTCAAAGCAACCTCAAACTCCTGGGCTCAAGCGATCCTCTGCCTCAGCCTCCGGAGTAGCTGGGACTACAGGCATGAGCCACCATGCCCAGCTAATTTTTTCTACATATTTTTAGTTGTCCAGCCAATTTCTTTCTATTTTTAGTAGAGATGGGGTCTCGCTCTTGCTCAGGCTGGTCTCGAACTCCTGAGCTCCAACGATCCTCCCACCTGGGCCTCCCTGAGTGCTAGGATTACAGGCGTGAGCCACCGTGCCCGGCCTGTTTTACTTTCTAAGTTACTGCTATATGGTTTTGCCATATGGTTGTATCATTTTACTTTCTCATCATTGTATGAGAGTTCCAGTTGTATCACATCCTTGCAAGCCTTTGATATTATCAGTCTTTTAAAATCTTATTTAAACTTTAGCCATTCTAATGAGTGTGTAATAGGATTACATTGAGATTTTAATTTTTATTTAACTTGTAATTAGTGATATTGATCATCTTTTCATGTGCTTATT